GTGCTTAAATATTCAAATGGTTTAAAAAATGTATAGCAATAGGCAATGAGTATAAAAGTTATTTTCTCAAAGCCCATGTTAGGAAGTATAAACATTTCCAAGAATAAAAAAAATCAGAAAAGGTCAAAACGTATTGCCATAAGATACCATTTTTTCCGTGGAACGAGTAGAAAATATTTTGCCGCAGATAAATAAGTTAGCAAGCCGCTACCTGCATCTGGATTTGATCCATTGAAACAGGAATTAGTTCTATTAGTCTAGAGAATAAGTAAGTTTTTCTGGGGTTTCCCTAATCCTGAGTAATGCAGATAAGGCAACCAAGGAAGTCTGGTCTATAAACCCGCACGTTTGATTGATCAATTTTTAAGATCGCGTGTTGAGTAAACTGATACACATATCAATGGAAGCTACGTCATTAATATAAAAAAGAAATAAAATGTTATCTTACTCCAAAGTAGATATAAAACCAAAAGCTATAAAATAGCCGGTCAAAAATTAAAAAAGATACTCATTCCCTTAAAAAGTAACATCGCAAGCTTAGCCTATACCCAGAACCCCATAAAATCTTAAAAGATGAAAGCGAAGCGGCTTCAGCTTCGAAATATTAATACGTTCGCGTCAAGAGTTATTCGTAAAATCAACACCGAAAGTTACAATTAAGTTTAATGAAAAATTCACAGCGTAGTCATGGTGACGTTATTAAATGGAAATTTCCAGCGCCCTTTCCGATGCATAAACAGTTGGTTTGAGCACAATACTTTTGTAGAAACGTGGTATTTAGTTTTTAGTCGGTATAAACTTACGCGGAATTTCCTTACAAAACGGTTTTCGATATCATAGCAGCAGGCATTTAATTGTAAAGCGGGTTGGTATTTGTTTACCGCCCCTGCATGGCAAATTATGATTATATTACTTTCGACAAATTGTTAATGGTGGCAATATGCGACGCATATTAATCGACGAATTACGCAATCTACGGCAGAAATCAAAATTTCGCCTCGATGGCATTGAAAACAGCTTATTTACCACGTGTGAGAATAAGTTGCCATTAAAATGATGCACGCTTACCTATTTCTAATAACCATTATAATGTAAGGATAAACAGATTTCATTGATGGTTGTTTGCGTTACACCTGCTTAGCATAGTTTTCAGCGCGTCAGTACACATGTCATTAAAAAATTACTGATGCTCACCTACCGTGATCAATTCTTATACCGGAAGTTCAAAAATTTAGTCACATTCGAGTGGTTACTTTTCGATTGGTCTCGGTGTCATATCTTCGCTCGGATGCAAAATGAATGAATTATAAAAAAAAATAACCGAAATTTACCACAGACATGAAAGTGCGGGACGTAATCTTTAGATATTAAGACGATCCGCATCCTATAAACAAGCTTGTTACTACATCAGAACTGTTAACATGACTTCAAGGTTAAAAAATATTGCATCTTGCGGTACATACTCGTTATCGCCAAGGGCTTCATTTTAAACCCCCCCATTAGCAGGCAACCACATAAACTAGCACGTAATAGTTTTAAATTTTATAAATATGGATTTTTTTTACATCTATAATTTTAAGAACATCCAATAAAAAATATATTGATCGATTAACGCCGTACGCCAATGGCGTTTGGTGATTTGGTATTCGGCAGCTTCATGGAAAACTCTCGATTTTATGCATTCTGCATGCTTCACCTTTTGCTTTCGAGTTGACGTGTTCATATGTTTTTTTTTTCGTTACGTAGTGAATATGCTTTATGGGGAAATTACAGGTCGAAAATTGGGTTAACAAAACTGGTTGTTGATATTTACATGGCGACCAAACGCGTCCGATTTTTATAATTTAAATATTATGGGCCTTTTTTATGACATGCCATATATCTAATATGTAATTGTCGTACGTTTTATCTTGATCGTGTGCTATCTTTATAAGGTCAATATATTTTTTGTAATTTTTCAAATTATGTAGGTGGTTGATGTAATATGGAAAAATCGATATGAAGAATAATGGAAGCATAAGAATTTGGTTCATGATTTTTGATAGTGTAGGTTAACAATCCCTATGTTAATAGTAGATAAAATATTTTATCTGAAATATTTATGGCCAGCTGCGTAATAAAAAGGAAATAAAATTAAATCCATTTTAGCCGTGTAAATAGAAAAATAGCATTCATTATACACGATTCCCATTTATTTGCCTCAAACAATAGTCTGTTAAAAAACGTTTTGAGGCAAGGAATATAGGAAAATGAACCTAATAATCTCGTCGAAGGTCAGCGTAACTAAACAAATTTTTGTCAAAGCCACAAGCACTTTTCGCTACAACCAAACGAATAAAATACATATTTTTAGATATACGTATAACAGCAATTTAGATTAATAGCTCAAATTGCATGCAAGAATCATTAGCTTTATGGGTTCATTCTGTTACGTTTAATTCGTATCCGGTAAAATTTTTAGAGGTGGACTTGCTTTTGCCTTTGGCGATGAAGATTTCGGAAATCCACCGATTTATAAATTTTTTGAATAGGAAGCGTGACGCAATATCGTGTGAATTCGATATAGTAACTACAACAATTTGTAAACTATCCATCAAACAGCCTTCGCGAGTCCGAAATTTTATTCTAACGCAAACATAATTGCCAGTGACGTAACATATTTAGATTTTATTAGGGTATAAATTTTTTGTCTTTAGGTATACGTCTGTTTGTATCTTATGCTACCATAAATTAATCTTTTTTCAGAGGATTATCATTAAATACATAAACGAAGGTAATTTACGGCTGTTAGGAAATATTTTCATTAAAATAAGCGCCTCAAAATAACATAGTTTGGCATTTTGATCTACTTTGTAGTACCTTTTCCGGAATTATAAGCCTGATAACGTTTTTTAACCCTACAGTAAATAGTCCATTGGAGGAATTATATTGATACCATCTACTAACTGCAATTCGCATAGGATACTGATTATCGAGATCTATCGATGTTTTCATCATAGATTCATGAAATCTCTATTTTAAATTGGTTATTAAATAACAAATAAGTAATAAAATTTTGAAACAAAAGACAATAATAATAATGATAATGATATATTAAAAAGAATATATTTCTTTTCTTGAAAAGACAGTTTTTTACAAACAGAATCAAAGCCAGGAAAATTTTAATGTTTTTATATTCTGAAAAACATTTAGAATTAAGAGCAAACATCAGTTTTAATGCAACTTCTATTCTAAAGCCCTGAAAATAAGAAATGTTCATGAAGACTTCTAAACGATAAAAGTACCACTAAAGTTGAGCCAAAATTTCTTTTATTTTTGAGAATTGCTGCGGTGTAGGGTTGCTGCATTCCTCGCGGTTAGCCTTTATGGGTGGGCATATTATTCTAATCGATAATAAACGTGTCACTGACGAAGGCGGCTTTTTTCGGTATATATACCTCCACAGGATGTTGTTTAAAACCCAAACTCATATCGTTCGCCTTACAGTTTCAAATGAAATTTGAGCTGCATAATAGTAACAATCGCTTCATATAAATATTTACTCCCAAAATCGAAAATAAGTTAGTGTCAACCAAAGAACAATGAACAATTTGCGACCAAAATTTGAGTGTCAAACAAGATTCTGCGTGCTTTTTTTTTGCTGCAAAAGTTCGTTACGGAAGTCGTTAAATAAGAGAAATTAAGAGGTGGTTTTGAATTTTGGACTATAATTATCCCCATGTTTATTCCCTTGGATAAAACGACTAATTAATTCTAATTCTAATTTCCATGCTGATACAATATTGATAGAGCATAAACATTAACCCGTATATCTGTCTTAAGTTTTGTAAAAAACATGTTTCCTAATATGGTTTATTTGGAAATTGCAAGCCCAAGGCCGACCATTGCCGATCGATATAATAAAAATAAAAATTAGCAATAGAATTTTTATTGCGATTTTTTTCACTTATATTTGATCGAAAGTGCTCTACTTCGATTAAGGTTTTTCACTAGGTTCTTTCGTGGACGTTTTGCGTATTTAATGATCCACTTATCGATAGAAATGTTTCGTTATCAGTATACACGTACTAATCAGCATCGCTCTTAATTTAATTACGAAAGTTGAATTTTTCTTAAGACGTTGAATTTTTCTTGTCTTTCAAACGCGGTGCGTTTTCAGAATTAGGCTATCGTGACGTTTTTTTTTTTGACTCGCAGGAAACGAGGTTATCATCACGCAGGTGTAATGTTGATAGTACTATTTATTGAGTTGAAAACAACAAAACCTTTGCAATTTCCATCGCTTCAGGCTAAAGTTTAAATATCAGTCGTCCTACCAGCTATCTCTTGAGCAATAATTACCGATACTGAAATTTTTCGGAAAATAAATTGTCTGTCCGACGATGCATAAAATCATCGAGGAAGAGTGAACGACAAAAGAGATCCACATAATGCCGAACCCGGAAGAATAATTCATACGTATCTCATATAGACCTACCATTATTATGCGTGCGCTGTATGTATGTCATTAATCCAATAAACGCTAATCCATGTTAACAAACAGTTGAATAATTACATAAACAGAATATTGCAGAACCTTGAATATCAAAAAAAGACCTTTAGATGAGGTCGTCGCGTTTTTGCTGCTGACAACAAAAGGGTACTGGTATCTTATATAAATTGTATCAAATTGCAAAAATTTTGAGCATCCTTCTTTGAAAGCAAAATGCTGCGGCTTCGATCCCCTTCGAACTGAGCCATTCAAAAGGCCACGACATAGGCCAATTTGGCATGCGAATATCGCAACCACATCGTTCTTTTTTCCGCCTGGGACAAAATTGATTAGACGACCAACAATTCATCCGTTCCAAGTTACGAGCAACATATTTCCTATATACGTTGTAAAAACCCTTTTGTTGGCAACCGAACGCGCTTTAACGCGCCATTTTTATTTAACATATCCTCGTATTCTGCGGAGTGTCTATTATTTGCTTATTTACCGTGCCTGTTATATTTTTTAGGCTGAAGAACTATTAGACGATCTACTGTCGCTGGAATCCAGTTCGTTGGCATCCGACAGTTTTAAGACCTCTGACGGTTCGTTAACAAACGATGTGATTAAAAACGAACTTATACTTAGTGAAGCGGAGCTCCACGCAATTGCCAAAGATAGACAAAAGAAAGACAATCACAACATGAGTAAGTGTACCGATAGTATGTTGTGGCTCAACTTTCGTTTAGTCATTTAAATGAACAAGGATTGTACTTCCCTCTTTTAGAAGAATTTTTGATAGGAAAAATACTAACATTTTTTGCGGAAATTTATCATTTCCGGCCTTTAGAATAGTCGATGTCAGTTGTCTGAACGTAAAAACACAAAAAAAGACATTTGGGGTGTTGTGCGAGTAATTAGATTAGAAATTGTGATATAAGTAATCTTTTTTTAAGCATTTCTATAGTTAAAAATTAGAAGACGAAACACTTTTTTTATATAAAAAAAAAAGACAGAAGAGATGCAGAGAATTAAAACAATAATAATTTGGTTACTTTAAGTTTTAACTGATTTCGGTTATTCTAAGGTCCGAGAAATGAAGGAAAATTTTAGTTCTTATATAACAAATGTCGCCTAAACGAAATGTTTCCAGTATGCATTTCCAAGGTTAAAAAAAATATTTTTTTCTAGTTGAGCGCCGAAGGAGGTTTAACATAAACGATCGAATTAAAGAACTGGGAACCCTGTTACCGAAAAACAACGATCCTTACTACGAAATCGTGAGGGACGTGCGTCCGAACAAAGGGACGATATTAAAATCATCGGTCGAATACATTAAGTGCCTTAAAAACGAAATACAACGATTAAAACAACAGGAGGCGCGCCAAAAACAAATGGAAGATATCAATCGTCGATTACAATTACGAGTTCAGGTAAAATTTTATTAAACGCGGATACGCGGGTCTAAAATTAGCGCAAGTAATAAATATATTAAATAACTCGATTTATAACGTCGGAAATTAAAAACCTATAATTAAAGTCACCATTGAAGGTGGGCACGGGCAGTCTATATAAAACGTAAATATGTGACTCCTTGTTTGGAAAAATTTACGTCTCGACATCCGGAATCAGATGTCCGCATGCTCCATTGTTTTGACGGAACGTCATTTCAACGTTTGGAACAATGAAAAATGAAAATTGTTCATGTCTTAGTTATTATAATAATTGATATTTCGAGGCGACGCTTGCCCATCGTCTAGAATTTCTAGGTACTCTTTTCAAACGAGATTGAACGATTCCAACAATTTCCTGCCCGTAACGATACTTTGTCGACGGTCGACTTAATTTTTTTTTATAAAGAATGTAGCGAATTTTTTTCTGTATTTAAACAAATACCGGAATAAACGATATTTGAAAATACCATAAACATTTTGGCAATTTTGAGTTAATCTAACCGACTTAATGATATTTCTTCTAAGGACGGATAACAAATGTGATTTTGTTTCTATGTATAGTAAAACCAACGATCTATCGAACTCACTTTTCATTGTCGTTAGAACCCACCAAATGAAGGCAGGGACGGACTTATTGCTGACAGAATTGCGCGGCTAGGTATCTTCAAAGTGTTTTTCAGTGTTGTGTTAACAGCCATAGTGTTTCTTGCGAGTTGTTATGACATATTTTTATCACTGTTGTTGTGAACAATAACTCGAGTGAGTTCGATAGATCGGTGGTGATACGATACGTACATAACTTCTGTCTTGCTCTTTTGACTTTGTTTCTAAAAGGACTCGCCGCATTTTTAGTTGTTTACTGGCTCTATATTCAATTTATTTAGTATCTGGGAATCAGGAATATGGCGCAAATATTGAAGCCAAAACTTTACTTTTTTTTGTACGCCTGTGATCCGGTCCAGTTATAAAGTCGGACGTAAGATTTTTCATTAAAATTTGCGGATTTTAATGGCATTGGTGCGTGACTTTACTAATATTTAAACAAAACGATAATAATGAATAGCCTACAAAATGTTCAAGGTTGGGCCAAGCGCTCGAATAAATTATGAAATCGAAATCGACAACTGAGGCGACATTTTTTTTTTCAGGAACTCGAACGTCAAGCGAAATCTCACGGATTGCCGGTGTCTGACTTCAATTGGCAAGGGTTGTCCGTTAGCAACCACTCCCCCTACAACTCGTACGGCAGTCGGAACATCGAACCCAATATCGATTCAAACATCGAGCACAATTTAGACCACAATATCGATCAGATCGATCACAACCATTCGGTGAATACTATTTTGCCTTCATCGGTATTTGCCGACGCCAGCCGGAAGGTACTAAGAAACCCATACCTGACGAGAATGCGCATATTGAACCATTTATATTAGTTGCAGATGCCAGATGTTATTACGGACGCAACCCTGGGTTTGCCAGTGGCAATGGAAGAAGGCATGGACGATGACGATCTCGTATACGGTGGCGTGAATAGTGATCCCATGCTTTCTTCTCAACACCCCTTACCTGGAGAGAATTTTTTGGTAAGGACCTCATCTCCAGTGCATCCTGGGTCCGGAGACCCTTTACTATGTGAGGATCGTATTCCCACGCCCGTACCAACAAGTCATATTGATCAAGTTGACGGTAGTGACACGCTTGACATAGACATGATAGCATGATTTCAATAGCACAGCCACAATGGAATCTAAAAATTGTGATACGTAGCTGCGTTAACACCTCGTATCACTATAGTGCCCGTACTTTTCGTAGAAGTCTGCTTGTCCTGATTCAACTTAACGTTTTAGTTTTGTAATTCAGTTTGATCCAATCAATGTAACAAAAATGTCAATTTTTTTTGTTTTGATCGTTTTATTTTCAAGAGCTGGGCTAATGTTTTATTCATGATTAGTTACTTAATCGTTAGATTCATGACATAATATATTATAGGTGCTGTCATCGGCAGAATACAGTTTTCGGCCATTCGAAGTTACCAACGATTGTTAACTTTATATCAAAGAATACTACTTAATTGATTGGACCCTCTTCCAGCTCTGTTTGTTATTTATTCTCATTTTAAATATTATCTTGTAGTCGTTTGTATCACGTCCTCGAAGGCGAACTTTCGGAATCATTTTAAATAATGTAAATTTAAATTGTCGCAGAAAACCAAATAGTGCTTGTGATAGGTTGGAAAAAATGACCGTATATCGCAATTGTTATTGTCGTGAATATTTAATAAAAATGTTGATATTGATCATTATAGTTTCATTAAATGTTTGACGTTTTCGTTAACCGTTGTTTGTATTTTTTTTAACACATCCATTGTATATGCCCATCCAGTTCCCCAGTTAAAGTCGATTTCTAAACTGAAATATAAATTATCATCATAAATTTGTTTTTTTACCCATTTTTGGAAAAGAAAATTAGTTTCTAATTAAATAATTGAACTACTGTAGGAATCTATCTAATTAGCAAAAAATATAAGTGCCGATTTTTTATAACTACCCGAGTCGATAAAAAAATTCAAAACAAAAACCTTAATTTTCTATTAAATTAGGCTTTTTACCATATTCATTGGTTGAGTGAAACATTTAATTATATATTTAATAAACTAATGGTTTGCCTATCTAGTGAGACCCTTTGATTGTTTGTTTTTTTTTCGTGATCTAATAGTATTAAATAACAACACTTATCAAACAATGTGTGTCTGTATTATTAAAGTTGAAAAAAGGGTAAATAATGCACAAAAAAATGTTTTGACCAAGCCATAATTATTAACTTGCTTAATCATAATATACGATTTCAGGTATTTCGAAGCTGTATACATCTATAAGCAAATATGCGTGTTTCTGTTGTCTTAAGATGCTTTAGCTGCTTCAAATCATACATGCATATAGATACATATATAGTATGTATGTGAGCGTCCGTTATTCCACATAGGCGGCGGACCATAAATAATGAACCCAAATTGCAATTAAAACAGGCATTCGGCGTGCAAAGATTTTGAAATCAGTTCGTTTGTGGATTAGTTTTCGTGAGCATCTCGTTATAGAAAGAAAAATAGTGGTAAGTACAAGTTAAGTTCAATTTAGAGTACCACGGAAAAAACCAACGATTTTATTTTAATTTATTTATTAATTTTTGCGAGGTTGTGAGTTATGGTTTACGAAAATTATAGGATTTCCACAATTTTATGTAATTAAAAAAAAATACCTACCGTCATCTTCGTAACCGTAGTTTAGAGATTTGGATTCTCTCCAAAAGATGGCGACGCGAGAAGGATTTTTTTTAAATTACTTTTCGCGCGTATTTTTGAATATTTTTAACCACTCATTTTTCGTGCTGATTTTTCTTTTCTTTGCAGCAAAAGAGGGCGCTTCGTTATTAAAAATAGGCGTTTAAATTTAAAAAATAGGATCTACACAAAGTTGCCATTATGGGTCCAACAAAATATCCCCTGCAGTGCAAGAACAGATCTACACAACTCAAAGTGCAATTTCTAACGGCGAGAGTCAAAGAAAAGGCAGGTAATGTGTAATCAACACCACATTCTTGCAGAATTTCCATTTTGTCTAACTATGTTTTAAGGAATAGTCTTACCAATAACAGCGTCGTGCTGTACATAAATCCCCAAAATGCATCACGGTACAAGAATCAGCATCACCTATCACAACCCGCACTTAGGAGAAGTCACAGTTTAGCTACCTCAAAAGAAAATCTTTTGAGTAACGCGAAATGCACGAAGAAGCCAACAAATGATGAGAAACGGACACTTTTGATTCCTAGGGCTCGACTTATTGAAGAAACCACAATCAGGGATCAAAGGCAAAATACTTTAAGTACTCTGCATTTAATTTTCTCCTAAATGTTGTAGTTTTAGACCGAACCAGCTAAGTTCCTTGGCAAGGTATACCACTGGGTCCTTAAACGACATAGATTTGTCGTCAACATTAAACTGGCCATCCACTTCGTCAGTGGTACAATCGAACCACTCCTCGTTGGATTGCGTTAGCTGGAGAAGCACCGATTTCGATCGCAGCATTTATTACGATCGCAACATTACTTTATCTAAAAGGAAGCAGCCCGACTTGAAACCTCGTAGCATACGAACACCCATTGCTCATTGTAGCTTCGACGATTTTATGCACAAGGAAATGGAAGTGACAATAAGAGACGAGCAATATTCGAGCTCAGATTTCGATGCTAATAACAATCTCGACGAGGTCAATTTGCGCAATGAGAACATCTTTCCCTCCCATGAAGTGTCCCATCCGGATGGAAGTAACTCAAGTGGGCTGGACGCAGAAGACAAAACATTTCGAAACAAATCACACAGTCACAAGTATATAAAGGAGTTTTTGGAATCACAAAGAGGATCAAGAACACCCCTACAAAATTTCATTAAGAAAAAACTGTCCAGGAAGTGTTGTGAGAAAACCAATCTGACCCTTAATCAATTTCACTCGTTGCCGGATATGCACAACAGCGTGAAGCCAAATAAATCGGAGGTGGTAGAAAAGCGGTTTATTATTAACATTGGAAAATATTTTGATATAAAGACTGACACTTCCGTAGAAACTGGACAGAAGGGCGAGAAAACCATAGCTGAAATAATGCCAGTTGCCGATTATGGTAAATTTTTAGAGACTAAAACACAGTCATCGCTTACGGATATCAAAGGAAAACTCTACGACGAAGGCAAGCCCATGAATAAGGTGCAGCTGGCAAAGCTTCTCTTTGAACCGAAACTCAATAATAAAAGTAAAAGGATATCGCCGCTAATTAAAAAAACTTGTAGTTATTTTGAGAAACCCGAGACTGCCACACGCGCTTATTCAAATACAAAATTGAAGAAGCTGCCTGTAAAATCCAGGAGTTTCGGTACAGCCGATTTTAGCAGCTGCAAACGATCAAACGTGCACGTGCGCCAGAAGAAACCGGGAAGAGACTCAAAGACATTCAATGACGCCGAGCTACCAAATCCAGATAAAGTGAGACGCACCAGGCAGTTCTTCGAACAAAGCTGCAAAAAGGGTCGTAGTTTCCCTTCCTTATGTAGTGCTGGTGAGCAAATCTATGAAACGTCGGAAGCTGAGGAACATCCTCAATATGTATCCGAAGATATACTAAGTAAAATTAGGGAGTACGGTACTACAACCACTTACTATGGAGGATGTATCGTCGACCAGTACTTGGGCCAACCAGTACTCACCAAAGCGATCATGGATGAGATTGAGGAGGAGAAAAAACGATTTCCCGATCGTCCAGTAAAATGCAACCCTGAAAAAGGCCAGAGGAAAAAGAAACTCGGTCGTAAATTTCGATTGATCAAATACAACAGCTGCGACAGTAGGATCGAGTTGTTGAGCATGAATTGCCCATCGTTTGAGTTAGAGAGAGTTCGAATACATCCGAAGTAGTTTTTATAAAATTTGCTTTATATTTTTAATACTCACGTATTTTTTTATACATATAATGGAGCTTCCTTTTTTCCTTGTTTGTAAATAAACAAAATGTGAAGATGGTTACTTTGTGAAATTACTTTTTTTTTTATCTTATTCGCTGGGCTAAAAACTATAATATCAATTTTTTGTTTTTTTTGGTTTGTAAGACGATAATTTTTGAAATTATTTCGTTTTTTTTTTATATTTATTGGATGGGGTAAAAACTAAATAAATACGTTATTAAGAAATTTACTGTATTGGTAACTAAAATACAATTTATGACATTTTCTCATATAAGGCCACTCCACAAATGTGGAAAACACTTAAAACTATAAGTCTTGGACGTCGAACGACTACTCGCCAAAGTCAAATATTTAATATTACATTTTTAATCAATTTGGTCACATATATTTGACTAGAAAGAAAACTTTGTAATTTCTAATTGTCTTAAAATATTTTCTCTAAGGCTTGCCATTTGACTTTGTGAGTATTATTAAGCACTAAGCTCCTGTTCTGGGAAACTTAAAGATATTCAAAAATAAATAAATAAAACTCTACATAACGTTGCCAGGCAACGAGGAACAAACAAACAAGTACACTCCCTCTGCATCTTCTGGATTATTATTTTTTATTTATTAGAATCTGTCCCCACTCGGAAAAAATAAATTTAAAAAAATGCTCTTTTTGGTAAGCTGGTTCAAAAAAATAAGCCCTAATTTGGTCCCAATAAACAATATCCCAGAGTGAACCATAGGTAACATGAATTACTAGGATTTTTTTTACATAAGCTGTGGCCCTTATGTATACAAAGATGAATTAACACCAAAACGTAGGGTGGGGGCTCCAGCATTAAAAAAATTAATAAATAATTTGTCAAATGGAAGAGCAGAAGAAGCACATAAAACAAAAAATCAATTCTAATCAGTAATGTAATGTAATGTAAAGTAATGAGCAAACGAACCACTTTTAATCGACCCGTATTCTTGGAGATCCTCGAGACTTCCATGCCACCATCAGCTTGTAGCTGAAGTACATGGAAAAGGAATGGACTTGCAAGGCAAGCAAAATGAACCCATACCAGAGCAACCCGTATGGATAATCCTGAAAAGAAAAGGCAAATTAAGTACATGTTTCTGTAGACAAATAATTGTCTCACAACATTTTGGACTCAGGCCATGAATGTGAACATTTTTCTGGGTCCAACTTCTAGGGTTAGATAACTCAAATACTTACTTTCCAAAAGACCACTTTTCCTAGATCAAAGTAGCCTTGAGTTGACCAGGGGTCGGCAGTCAAAAATGTCCAGACATCCCACATCCAGTAGAATGTACCATATACCAATGGCAAATAACCGAGAACTATAATTCCAATCATATAGTTCCTTAACGAAGATACTTTATTGCGTTTGCCAGCATCCAGTGCAAAAAATGATGTCGGAAGGCTGAAGAGCCAAACAAACTCCCACATAATCGGCTGTAAAATAAAGGTACTAACAATACTGATCCAAGTAAGGTTGGGAACATTTACTTACCTTGGGCACATCCAGCTCTTCTATTTCCAATATGAAAATGTCTAACGAATCCAAGAAAAATGGAATCAGTTTTGCCAGCATGCCAAATGAGAGTAAGTAGTGGAAAAAAATGCTCCACTTAAGCCGGCGTTTGTTGGCAGCACTAAAAATAACGTATGCATCAGATCTTATTGAAAATATTGGGGTAAATATTACCTTGTCGCGTAATGCCCCGCGACTGTCTCGCGGAAAGAATGGTCTTCTGCAGTCGCGTCGCCCGTTGCCGCTACCGCTCTCTGTCTCTTACGGCCCGACCTTGTTTCCATATTAAAGATTTGTTGTGACTTCAAATCCCTCTAAAATAGGGAACTAAAAATAATCTTACTTGTATCGAACGATTTTTTAAAAAGAAAATTAAATATTATGTCACTTAGATATAAGCTGCACAATATTTTAGGGTATGGATGTTTAAACAACGCTAACACGCGTTTTCTGTGACCACTGTTTCCGCCGACTAGTTACTTTCAGTATAGTGGGGGTATGGATTGTTCTAGAATTATCGATATGATTCCATTCCATTGGTGCGATCAAGTCATGACGTCATCGAGAGTTTACAGCGTGTTAGCGAATTTCTCAGTCTCAGCCGAAAATCCACATCTTGACCTGATCTTTGCTGATTGTTGGCGTCATAACTTACCAAGTTTCTTTGGTCATTCTAAATAATAAGAAAATCATGTTGCAGCTATTGCGATTGGCCATTACGTCATCAGACAAGACTGCATTAAGCCAGTTTGTCTATAGAATCAAGTAATACGCCAGAATCGTGAAAATAAGGTTTGGGTCCAAGTCTGGGTCCTCGGATTTTCTTCATCTTTCGATCCACCGCGTACTACCATTGTAATTTTTATTTTACACACGCAACAATTTACTCCAAACTGCGCTTGCGCAAATTTTCCTGCCGATCTTCCTGGGGTGTACATAAATCTTTGTGTCACTTAGCTGACCACATTTTCAGTTAATTCAAGATTTTAACCTTTTGATGTAAATAAAAACTTTGGATCTTATCGTATTCTGTTCAAACTATGGAATAGTTTTAATTATCCTTGACTTATAGTTATTAAAAAAAGAGAAGAGGTGTACCATTCTTTTTTCTACTTAAACAAACCAGCTTGCAATTAATTGCAATATATTTATTTACAGAAAACATGGAAGTATCTATCAAAGAAATATGTGACAATGTTAGTCTAGCAAGGGAAATGGCGGTGCTCGGAAATTATGAAAATGCAGAAGTTTACTATCAAGGATCCCTTCAACTAATCTCCAGGCATATAGCTATGATCGCAGAACCCATTCGTAAGAATAAATGGCAGGAGGTAGTTAACTCAGCTACTAAACTATAGTCTGATGTTGATAAATATTATTTTAGATGCAAAACATAATTAATCTTGAGTATGCAGATATTAAAAAGTACAAAGTATTGCTAGAAACCTTGAGAATTGAAATAAGTGGAGATGTACCAATCGGTGCGAGAAAGCGTGATGACACTTTTTTGTTAGCAAATGATGTGTCCAGTATTACTGATCCTGATGTGTGGCCTCCTCCGACTCCAGCTGATCATGGAATTTTATCAAGGTGGAAAATATTTATAATTAAAAGTACCCTATTTGGTTGTATAAAACATCTGAAAATCATTAATAATGGAACTATTAGTACAATGCCTCTTTTAGTAGGCATAATGGTCCTAAGACAAAATCAACCAACTCCAGAAGATCTGAAATAAGAAAAGCACCCAGTGGAGCCAGGGCTACTTCTTCAAATACTTCAAGAAAGACTGATATTACAAAACCCACTAGAACCAGTAAAAGGGAAGATAGGCCTTCAACATCAAAATCAGAAAGGTTACTCAATTATTACATGATACTTTTTTACAAATATAATAAAATGATGTATTGCAGGAATGTTGAAGCTATGAAAGATCGACAAGACTCTGAATCTACAGATAAAAATGAAAAAGCTGAGGAACAAGAGGAAAAAAAATTTGAATGTAATGGTATGGAGAGAGAATTGGCAGATATTTTAGAAAGGGATATTGTACAGAAGAACCCAAATATAAGATGGGATGATATAGCAGACTTACATGAAGCCAAAAGATTACTGGAAGAGGCCGTTGTGCTGCCCATGTGGATGCCGGAATTTTTTACAGGTTTCTAAGATTTCAAAGATACTTTCGTAATGAGAAAATTCTTTCTTATCTTAATTTAGGCATTAGGCGACCCTGGAAAGGGGTCTTAATGGTAGGACCACCTGGAACTGGGAAAACCATGCTAGCTAAAGCAGTTGCCACCGAATGTGGAACCACTTTCTTCAATGTTTCTTCATCCACACTCAGCTCAAAATATCGAGGTGAATCTGAAAAGATGGTTCGGCTTCTTTTTGAAATGGTAATTTGTGTAGTAAAATATAAATATATAATATATATATATATATATATATATATATATATATATATATATATATATATATATATATATATATATATATATAAATTAATTATAAGTTTATTTTAATCAGTCTAGTGTTGCCAAGGGTAGTGTTTTTGGAATATTCCGCGTCCTGTTTAGTGTGTTTTTAATTAAAAAGGGTTTATATCTATTATGATATAACCTTTTTTTACATTCATTAAAATAGAGTAAAAAAAAGTTTTTTCTTATTTAAAAAAAAGGCATTTAGGTTTTGCTTTAAAGACTTGCTAGATATTATTGTCGCTAACCAAAGCAAATAATAAAGTTGTTTTCGCTTTGCCAGTGGCGTTTGTGAGACCGTTTTAATTATTTTAAATTATAAAAAAGTGGTAGGCCAGTGGTTTATTGAAATCTTGTTAATAAATTTAGGTGGCCTGTTCAATTCTAAACAAAAATAGTCTGTTCAGTTTTTTCGTAAAAAGTTAACGTTTTCGAGATTTTTTTTGCACCTAAGATTTGCAAATGAATTTTAGATAATTAGAGTTATTTATATTCGCTTTTATTTACATAACAACAATTCGAGAAATTATAATAGTAACGGAATAATAATTAATTTTGTTAATTTAAGTATTATAATACCTACCAAGAAAGGAAGAAATCTAAAAGAAATTTTTTTAAATAGAAAATTGCGTAATTGCGATTTTTTTCGCAATTACGCATATTAGGACATAAGTTTATGTGATTCTTTTTTTATTTATTTTTATCTGATCACTGCACCATGTATTTAACTCATATTTCAACATCAAGTACACCCTTTTTTGTTTGTTTAGGCACGATTTTACGCGCCCAGCACAATTTTCATCGATGAAATAGATTCATTATGTTCAAGAAGGGGGTCTGAGTCGGAACATGAAGCTTCTCGCAGAGTTAAATCCGAACTTCTTATTCAGATGGATGGTATAACTGCCAACAATGAGGAACCAGGGAAGATTGTGATGGTATTGGCTGCAACAAATTTCCCCTGGGATATTGATGAAGCTCTTAAGAGGCGCCTGGAAAAACGCATTTATATTCCCTTGCCAACATTGGAAGGAAGGGAGGGATTGTTAAAAATTAATCTTCGGGAAGTTAAACTTGATCCAAACGTCGATTTAAAAAGCATAGCACGAAAGCTGGATGGTTATTCAGGAGCTGACATAACAAATGTGTGCAGAGATGCATCAATGATGTCGATGAGAAGGAAAATTCTTGGCTTAAAGCCCGATCAAATAAGGCAACTCCCTAAAGAAGAATTAGATCTTCCCGTTACAACTCAGGACTTTGAAGAAGCTATTCTGAAGAACAACAAAAGTGTCTCAAAGGAAGATTTGGACAAGTTTGAAAAATGGATGAATGAGTTCGGCTCCTCCTGATAGTATTACTAACTTTTGTTAACTTTTGGTTGCTTTGTATTGATTGTTTGGTAAGTTTGTTAACACTTGTTGTATTTATCTACGTTTTTTAAATAAAATTAATTAATAAAAATAAACTTTTTACAACCAATTTGTTTACATTTTACTACCCATCATCATCAATAAATCTTTGTGATAAGAATCCTCGTCTGAATATTGGAATGTCCTATTAAATGAAATAATTTTATTAAGATTAGGTTTGTCTAATCAATATAACTTAGATAAAAGCACTTGTAAAGTAGATTCCTAAATATTTAATTTAAAATCAGCCCTTTTGCAGAGGTGACCTTAATCTGGTGGTTATTTAAGATGAGAATGGGAAAAACCAATCGTTTTTACCAAATTCCCGATGAAATTTAATTACTCGTGAATGTAAGATGTAATTTAGTTACATAAAATGTAATAAAACATTTTTATAACCATTTATCTGCTTGAGCGGTTTTTGTTTTTCCTCTAGAAACGTGAACTTGAAAATTCCAATTAATATTTAACATAAAGCATAATTTAGTGGAGGCGTGCATTGTACGCAGAAAATTCAGAGCAGATGTTGGAAATATGTTGCAAAATAAATAAAAGGGGAACGCGGTCCATTGGTTAAATTTAGGTTTAAACGTAGTGAAATTCGCGCGAACTTCGTCAGATGTCAAAAATACCCACCTTTGCTTGTCTCCGCTGCTTGAATTCCAGCGCCCTTGTCTGCGAGAGCAAGCCGAGGGAAAAGTAGTTTCGCGTTTCATACGCGTTCTTAGTGGAAAATAATTAAAAATATTAGAATAATATCGCACCAAAGTAGGTTGTAGTGTCCGTACGAGTGATTAATGTTACAAAGGACCGCACATAGGTAACTATTGCGAAGCAATTCCACCTTGAAACCATGGCGTAGGAAACGGACTTTTACCCATAAGCGCCATAACCTCCATTCGTGTTATTGGAGTAGATACGGAATTAAGTTGTATGTCAGATGTGTCCATCATTTTGGATTATACGAAAAGTTCGGTGGTGTTATTTATTTTCAGAATATTTAAAGTGAATCAGTGACTAATCTAGTATGTGTTTGCAAGGACCGGGATTTAAATCGTCGAACGAAAATGAAGGAAAGCATCCGTTGTTGATTATAACGGCGGGGTGTTGGCAACGTCTATACAAAGGCTAAAAACACCGGCAGCAAAACCTCGCCGTAGAAATGAGTCAATATCGACAGGATGGAGGTGGCGGTTCGGCGACAGTTCCAAACGCTGCCGGCTCGGGCCCCTCGCCCGGTCCGGGTTCAAACAGTGTCTCCGACTCGAGTCTCGGCGGTGAATCGGAATCCTCGGCCGGACCCGGGGCCACCGCCGCGTCGACAGACTCAAATATGTATGCGTCAGAAGGTCCTCCGGCTCCTGCGCCCCAGCCGGACGGCCACGGTTACGGTTATCCGTACGGGAGCGGGCCGGAAAGTGGCGTGCACGGCTTCGGACCGCGACAACCGTTCGGTGGTGGGCCCGGGCCCAAGCAGCTTCAGGCGCACCGTTTCGTGCCTAATCCCGCGATCTCACAACCCTCCGGCCCGACGCCGACGCTCAATCAGTTGCTACAAAGTAACAGCCCCATGCCTCACAGATACCAAAACAACTACTCGCTTCCGGATCAGCAGCATTATAACCAGTGGCCCCCGCAAAAACCTCACCAACAAGGCTATGGCCCGGGGCCCGCGCCACCTCCCGTACCATACAGGACGCAACAATCAGTAAGTGAAATAATCGTCCTTGAGTTGGTTTTTGTTTTACCCTTTCCCTCAGTGCATAAAATTCCTCGTCGCTTAATCAACGCATCCCCTACACGTGTGTCGCCTCCTAAATATTTTATGTTTGGCAGGAGGAGGCCACGTGTTCCCATTTGTTATTAATATCGTATTTGTACTCCTGGACGAAAAAAACCGCGAAGCGTGCGCTCGTAAAGGGCCCGCGTTATTAATTCGTTGGTCATGCAACTAATGACCTTGAACTTGCTTTAAAATGCGATTACATACCTCCCACTTTGTTATTATGCAATCAGCTGACGTGTCGCAATCGGCGATCCCTATATGTACTTTCCTTCGCCCACGCTTTTGCGGTGACAATTTCACACACTTCGATTTTTACCCTTTTACAATAAGGGGTCGTTCCATCCGATAACCGCACATTATCGGTCAAATTGATATAGTCAAAACACGCGGAATTATATTCGTAACGACATTTCGTTTTGCCTTTCCAATAACACTTTTAAATCTGAGAAAAGGTCTTTCAGTAAACTTTCCATTTTTAAGTACTAGTATGTCCCCGCTTTTGTCCTATAAAAAATTGTAAATAACAATTTTGTAATTTGTGCTCTGTTAGTTCCATGATCTACCTCAGTAGGGCTAGTGCTCGACCCTTATCATAGTATATCAGTATATGGATATATTTTTCACCAACCACTTCCACATCCACATCCTTTCGTGGGCCCCTGTGCTTTATAGACAGGACGCTGCATTTTGACCTATCGATCCATTGTGGATCTTCCTTCCCGTCCTAGGAAAAGCAGTACCAGAACCACATTGTACTCTCGAAAAAGAATAATGAATTCAGCTCTTAATACTCTTAATCGTCTGACCCTCAATGGTGCGTAGCCTAATCACATCCCCTGAATCCTCTGAAATAACATCAGGGTCCACCAAATAGCACCCTCGGCTATTTCAATCCCGGTACACTCGTAAAATGCGGACAGAACTCTGTTTGTTGGCGAGATAATATCAGATCCATGAGATGACAACGATCTATGCTCTCTTTCATAGACCGGCATCTGCTTATGAACTATGCCCGAGTAGTAGAAGGCAATAAGGCTGTTAAATATGACGATGTACCGTTTAAAGCCTTAATAAAATCTAAGTTAAAGAATAAGTTCTACGAGATAAAATATAAACTGTAGGACAACTGCCACAATCTTACATAGCATGTACATTTTACGCAATGCACATGAGATAATTAGTCATTCGACATTCTTTATGGCGGCTTTGAAAGCTCTAGAGAAAGACGAGATTCAGATACTGTCGATGGTGCTGAGTGCTTGGAGAGACAGCAGAACCAATCCGCGTTCCATGAAACTGCAACCATCACCTTAGACCATCTTAATCACAGCACAGCTTTAGCACGAGCACTAGTTTTTCGGCCTTCTTCACTACTCAAACTAGATTGCTGGAATTACACGATTAATCGGCAGTCCTTAGGTCGCTTGCCCGAGTCCCTTCCGTGCTCGTGCACGAGCACGACCCCATATTACTCCAAATCTGCTTTTTTTTACCCGTCTTCGAGGCACCAAGATGTTTTCTCCCCTCCTTTGGTTTTACCCTTTTTAATTTGATAACCCGTGCATCGAAGGTTTGCCAGCTGTGGTTCCGTACAGAATTCTGCTGGCTACATTTAATCGTCGCGCTCCGTTGTTGCAGTTGTCGCCAGCATACGGTGGCGGTCCTGGCTCTGCGCCAAGTCCGGGTGGTTACGATTCTAGGACGGGCTGGCCGGGCGGTCCTCCATCATCTGGAGGATCGCAACACGGACCCGGAAGTCCGGGCCAGCCGCAACCTCCACACCAACAATCCCAACAAGGCCAACCTCCCCCATCCCAACCCCAACAGAATTCGTCGAGTGGTAATCAACCGTCGCCTCAGCCTTCGCAACCGCCTATTAGTCACTCGCCCGGACCCGGGCCTGGTGGACAAATGCCGCCTAGTCCTCAGCAACATCAACAGCACCAAGGCGGGGCCGGTGGTGCTCATCAACAGTCGCAGCAGGGCTTTCCAAACAGGCCACCACCACCGACCACGCCTAACGCTCACGCTCCCGACGCTGCGGTAAGTTTTCCTCGATAAAAGCGAATTTTAGATCCAGCGCGACAAAGTCGTAAAGGCGTGCCATTTTGTTTCTAAAAGGCGAAATAGTAGCGATTGTTACTTGCAAGCCGCGTGCTGCGGAATGCGTTCGTGATACGTTGTTGTTCATTTCGCATACCTCGGCAGCGGTACAGTTAAGTTCTCGAGTTGGAAATGCCGAAGCGAAAAGTTTGTTATGCGTAATCATTTACGAAAGCGCCGATCGAATAGTAATTAGTTATAATCGCGTTCTAATCAATGAAACGCCAATTTCAGCGATTGCATTTAGGTGACGTCACGAGTGTCTGGCCGACGACAAATCGAAGACAATACTTAACGTTGTTTTAATTGTGGTATATCATAATTAATCCTTTTTAAATATAAACACATTTAGCGTTTAATGGCAAACAAATAACTAGTCTGGCGTTCTAGAGTTCGTGTCTACGTTTGTTTCTATTTTTAGAATTTTGTATGATATACGTCCGCGTACAATAGGTTATTTAATTCCGATTTATTTATAAATTGACTAAATATTTATTTTGTTTATTTTTTGGTTCCGTTGCGTCGTCGTAGGTCAGTATTATCGGCAACGGTTTCCTGGAGCTTCGTTTTCCAGTCGATCGGTTTTTGTCCGTCTTGTTTTCGCTGAAAATTTTCTGACGATCTCCTAACTGTTCGTATTATAATACGATAATGCAATTCCACGGGACGACGACAAAAAGCTAACCGAGGTGAATTTCAACTTGGGAACGAAAGGATTCCGACGGCGAAAAAGCGTTTGATTACAAAATCACTTCAGAACATAATACTCCGGATTAGAAAAACCGTTCGGGAGAAACATTACATTGCAAAAGTCGAAGTCATTTATTTTAAAAGGTTTAATTAGTTTTTGCAGTCTTATTTGTTGTTCACCGTTAGCTACGAGATTTTCGCCGTATTAGTTACGATTTTGGTGGAATGAAAACGTATTTCGTTAAAGGAAAGTCCAATTTATTACGTTACGTAGTTAGTTGTCTTTAAGTTCACTACGACGTTTTACAGGTGTCTTTAGGTTGGCGAACATGCGAAACTATGTCAGAACTTCCTATTATGTTACAATACAGTTTGTCCACAACGCGCTACATCTTCGTGGTTTCCTAAAACCCTAGTTACCATTTCGACGCAATTGGTAAAACTATGTCAAGTGCATGTGTGATTAGTTTGGAGAACTTTCGAAACTATTTCAGAACTTGACATCGAACGCTTCGTACACCTTCGTATCCCGTCGCAGACATCAGAATTAATGATCTACTTTGAGTAAAATTGGATAAAATATGACGAGTTACGTAACCCGATATAAGCTCGGCGTACAATTAAGCTAAACGATCTTGACCTTTGTTAACACACCGACAGATTCGTTAGTAGACAACACGTGTTTTTATCGTGTGGGAGGGAATTGTGAGGTGCGTCGGCAAGAGAGGGGTCAGTTTGCAGTGAGGAGAGTTTAAATAAAGTCGTAATGGGTTTCATATGCCAATTTTACAATTTGGTATTTGCGTTGGTCATGGCTATGTTGTGGTAATTCTCTGTTTCCTTTAACTGCGTCCTTATCGTGGATGCAAATCATGGCGACATGCCCTTGGGGTTAAATTCGAATATGTAACGGCGCCTAACACCTGTTCAAACGTAGGCTTCGGAGATTTATGATCTTTTACGTCGGGAACGTTAATTGTGGATTGATTAACGGTAGCATTGCCATTTACCCCCTTATCAGCTGGGAGTCAATATTTCGTCTCTGTTAAACATATCGCAATAAATCGTGTGTTTAACTATACAGAATTGATGCCGTTTGTTGCAAATTCGAGCGTTTGTTTGATTCCGACGGGAATGTTTTCTGGTGGAAGTGATCGCTAATTGAAACGAGGAAAAGTTGACGTTAAAACTCTATACCGTGTCTAGTTTATTTGCTCCGAGCGGAGTTCTTTGAGTGGTATTGTTTCCAAAGCCGTGCCGTTGCTATGGAGAAGACCTTCGTCTCTTGATTAAGTTTGGAGTATAAAAATGTTATTTGAGCGTTGTATGATGCGTCACAGTCTTAACAATATTTAAGAGCTTTTGTCTCCTAATATGAATCTCAGTCATAATCAAAAAAGGTTTTCGTTTGCTAGATGGTTAAGTTTTGATTGATTTCATCATTTTGCTTTAATACTGTAAAGGATTCGTCACCTCGTTCACTCCCTTGACGACAGTTACATAGAATACTAGTCTTTATTGTGCGGACTCTTAATTGGGATAGGTCTGGATCTACAAATTCACTGTCAGAATCGAGCAACCTTTCGCTATCTCATTTCCGACACACTCTTCCACAGAACCATTCAGCCATAGGAGATCTGGATCTGAACGATATATGAGTAAAACGTTTACCTTAGACTTGAGACGGTTGAAATCTGATTCGGAATCAGAGTCGGATGTTTTTTTTTAATTTAAACCAAGGTCCTTAATAAATGCAACTTGAATGTGGGAAATCTTTTGTTGTAGTTGTAGATTAAAAAAGTAGTCAGTTACATCCGCGATGTACATGTAATAAAGTGCCGACAGTGAAGTTCAACTACTTACATCCTTTATTCAGAAAATAAATGAAAATGAAATATCGAAGTACAGGTGGAGTCTTTGATATGCCAGTCATGGCGCAATTTTAAAGTATCAGATAAATTCCAACAGAGACAGCTTCATCATGTAATTAAGGTTCTTCAAAAGTCCAACTCTTATTGGGTATTCGTTGGAGTTTGCAGTGTTTATTGATATTGGATTCGGAGCAGGAACAGTTAGAGATATTTGTTGGAAGTTCTCCAAGAAATTCTAACGTGGACTTGCCGGTGATCTGATATTCAGGTCAAATAGCATGCAATGGGAGAGGAGTCACTTTTTCGGTTAGAGAACAGCAATTATTTACGAGCGAGTACCATTTTATTTTATCTTCGCTCTCGGACCACGTGAATACATGGTCGCTATATGTTTTGCGTAAAAAACACTGTTGTCGGCTATTGCACGTACATTTTGGTGTCCTATGGCGTTATTAATATTATATCCACAGGTTGGGGAAATAGAAACAATTATAGATGTCCCAAGCTAGTTTTCGATTTGCTTAATTTCGTCTCAAATTCTGAGCACTTTCTAAAGCACCGTTGCAAAAGAGTGATAGCGAGTCCGTGTGGTCGCATCGGTTTTTACAGCGCCAGCCAAACGAGTGGTACGCAATAGTAAATAGCCTAAGTTCTAGGAACAATGTTAAATGTAAGTCATGGCTATTTGAGCGCAGTAGACGCGGCAACGCTGCGGATAATATTCCATCGGTTTCGAAGTTCCCTCATGGCAATACGAGAACCGTGAACGATGCGATGTTGCCGTTTTAGGTGTAAGTCGACCGGCTCGGCTCCAGTCCGTTATTGATTGGAAGTATGCGGGATGACAACGCCGTTCGTTACAAAGTACGCTGCACTGAATTTGGCCCGCTCACAGCTTTATGTGGTGATCAAGCCGAGAAGCTCGATTTTAGTTTTCATTTTCTAGACTTACGGAAAATGTTCTTAGTTCGGATTTTTGAATCTCGTCGGTCCGAAATTAAATAATTCAACTTGTACGTTTCATAGACATGCTGTACTATACCTGGTTATTTCGTTTTGTAACAGTTCAGCGATCGTAGCCCCCCCTATTTCCTGATTTTTTATATCTGCGTCGATTCTTTTTCGACGCTATCCTTCACTTCGATATTTGTTGGGAAACGAATCAGTCAAAAACGCTATCGGCAATTTCCTTTTCCCGGATTTTCGTTATATTATCATGCATAGGGTGTTTCTTTCTTCTTCCGACGTTTTGAATTGTAAGACTCCATTTTTTCGAGGTTCACCAAAGTTACTAACTAAATCTACGTGACGAAAACTTTAGTTGAGTTAGCCCGTCAACAACGCGTTAAGAAGATCCCAAAGGCCGACTTGAAATATTAATTGAATGAAAACAAAGCGCGTCATAATTCCCTTAAAAGCTTCCAACTTGGTTAAATATTTTTTCAGACTTTTAACTCGATAACAGGTGGCAACGTCGGAATTCAGCCAAGCTGAAACTACGTCGAATAACGCGGCGGACACGCGGTTGCCACGACAGTAAATTTCCGATGATCGATGTTTTGTGCTATATTATTTAGAAAATGTACGTTGGCAATACTTAACGCGACGTCTACGTCATTGACGTGGAATTTTACACCGAATTCACTTTTGGCTGAGGTTTGAGTTAGTCTATGGGCGTATTTTAATCGTTATTTTTTTGTAAGGAGGCACCCTGCCACTGCCACATATTTTGGGATGGAAAAAATTTGCCGCCGCCCGTCTTATCGACTACTGTCGATGTGTTTGGCAATGTCATCGAAATTTTTTCGATCTACCAATTGGCAACGTTGTTGCAAGTTTGCCGCATTCGAACCGTTCTCTTCTTTACTATACTGCCGCTCGGTTCGGAGCGAGGCGATCAAGGTTTGGCCAACTGAAATACCTCTAACGATGTCTGACATTACAACGTTGCCGCTCGTAAAACCGTTGCCAGCTCGCAAGAAACACGATTCGGTCCTTCGTGCCGTTTGCCTATATGCGGAACGACTGTTACTGCTAAACCTAAGTGCAATAGGTCGATAATAGTATTCTTATGGCAACAATTTATCATTATCTAACGAACCTACAAAGACAAGGCAATTTTCCTTCCCACGCGCAGAACAAGCCAAAAAAACATTAGCCTAGGGTGGATCGCGGAGAGGTGCAGGCGGGGCGTGTGTCTTCACGTCCGCCTCCTTTCTAATCAACTTTGCCCCCTTTTTAGAGGAGGTGGGCTTGTTAAAACGATTGCAATAAATTGTGATATTCTTTGTAGTTTTTTAAACAAAAATACGAGCCAGATGTTCTTTACTGTCGATTGTTCGAAAAAAAAAAAGAACGTACGATATAGCGATTTATTAA